AGGGCAAAGAGCAATTATCAAAATTGAACAGAGATTCAGATTAGCTATTCTGGTATTTGAATTCTTGAGGTATTGTCTTGTTTACGCTGTTTATCTCGGGTAAGAAGGCCTTTCGCGATCGTCTTTTTGGATAGGGTACATATATCTTGTTTTGGCTGAATAGTCGCGCTCGTTCTTGCGACACGTTAGTAACCATATGATATCAAACATATGTCACTCTTATAAGCATTGTGCAGAAAGGGGCATGTTCCTCCAGATCGGGTTCTCTGCAGGACAGCTTATCTCAAAATGTGTGTCGTCCCAGCTGTATATGTTCTCACAATGTAAGAAAGAGGCTCGTTACGAAATGGTTGGCTGACTCATCTTTCTTCGATCACATCCGACGCATGTTCCGGCAGGTTGTTGGTCGACCCAAGTACGACTAAAGAGACGGGCCCAAATACGAATAGCTTATACGATTTTTCCTAGCGGTTGTTGTTTATCCCTTCAGTGGCTAGAATTAGCTGGTTTACTTTGTAAGTCCCTCCATTCAAGTCAATTAGATTTAGGCTGCCTGTTAACTCCTTTGTCTAATAAATTTGCTGTTAATAGATGCGTGCAGGTGTTAACAAAATAAAATATAGGTAAATTTCAATATAATTATTTAGGTGTCCGTTACAGATTATGGCATTGCGAGGACGCTACGAAACGCTTGCGCATATCAATCAGCTTTGCTTAATTTAATATAGATGTTTTCTAAAATATGAACCTTATAATTTATATAGTGAGCTTAAAAATATATAAGCGTAGATAGGTGAGTGAACTAGGCAGTTAGGTGCCATTTGATAAATAAACATTTTTTTACGGGAAAGAAGTAGTTAGATGTTTCATTTTGCTGTTTTCGGTGGTATAGCTTGTGCGGCTTCTCAAGCCTATTGTAACTTGAAACAAAAATTCACCCAACGACAAACTAAATGTATATATATCTATGTAAACAGCATCCATAACGGTTTATCCTCAATAAATTTAAACATATCTTAAAGCACTACGTAGAATCTGTGACAAACTGTGCTTTTTGCAAAATGGAAACATTTTCTCGTACTGGCCCTTTGTATGCTTACGATTTCCACTGACTTGTTAGTCAGCAGGTTAGTTAGCGTTTTCAGTAGACAGCTGCAACCTTTAACACTAATAAATATCTTATTACTAGGTCAATAAGGCTTTCGTGTCCCAAATTTGACCTATCTCAATCTACAGCAGCGAGCATGTGTTATGGTATATGAAAAGCAACTTCGTATGTTAGGTAGATGTCAGCAATAGATGCTCACGTTTTATAAATGTCTCATCTAAAGTTATTTAATCTAGTGTATTATAAATATATATATATACATAAAAAAAAAAAAACAGTAGATCGAATAGTGGCAAATGTTTATCGTCAGATCAATGCCCTCCACGTAACCGAACTATCGTTATTAGCGTCACTGTTCGCTGGCGGACGCGTTTACCACATGAACGTTTCGAATGCCATAAATTAATATGATTGTAATTTTGACAATCAAGCGAAAAATTCTTAATATCACCTTTTGCTCGCCTATGAGTTCTAAGTGCTCTGTCTGCTGGTAGGTTTGCAGGTGGTAGCGGAATCTAAGGATGTATCTTTGGCAGTATTTAGAAATTCCGGTTTAGTACAGTACTTTTAGCTGTAAAGAACCCGCCTTTGAGTATCCCTCAATTTCGAACGATTACTACCTAGAAAAACGTCGATATCTAAATACCAACTTGCTTACAAAATAATCATAAACAGCTCAAATAAAATCTAAATGTTGTTTATCTATATTTACCCTATCAACCTATATTTACTTATTCTTGCTGCTAGTCGTAATAGCTCTAAGCAGCGCCAGTCAACGTAAAGATTAATAGGTATGGTTCACGCATGGTGGCATGCTTTATTAGTAATCCATGAGGGCGCAACTCCGAGACGCCGATCGCCTGCCCACGAGTGGGCGTCTGAGCTTTTCACTCAGAGATATGAGACTGGCCTCACACTTCGTCTAGTTTTCTACGAGCCAAGTTCCTTAGCATCCTACCTCTCTGTAACTATTACCAAAAGTTAGTTTCTCTTGCGAATCATGATCAAGGCTTGGAAAACTAGCGAAATTTATCAAGCGAGTCTGTGGTATTAAAAATAACGATATTTTAAGTTGAGAGCTTGACCGAGTCGAATAAACTGGCTTTTCTAGGAAATGATGTTTCTGATGTCAACAACAAAATGCTTCCGAGTATCATCACTTCGGTGTTACAACCCATTTTCCATCGACGGCTGTTTCCCTTGGAGAGAATAGCTGCATGCACGTATATATATCCAGGTGTCCGAGACGTGCAAATATCAAATTAACCTATGCGTGGTTAGCGAGTTGATGGCAATCCGTTTTTGTAAAAACCGAGATATCTCAGCGTTGATACTCGAGCTATCGGTAAGATCGCCCCCCTGGCACAATGGAAACGAAGCGACTGAGATGAAATCTAAGCGGTGAAACATAACCCAATGGTGATCTGAAATTAGGAACTCAAATTGCTTAGCCGAAATCACCGGGACTTTGCTAAGAAACGCGCCTGAGACTCCATAGTTATGGGCCAGAAGTCCGTCCGTCCGTCCCTCCCTGCCTCCCTGCCATTGCGCCAGTCAAGTAAATCCTAGGGTGGAATCATGTTATAACTGGCCGTGTAGGCGTCGCTTTTGAAGCCACATCTCTCACGACTCTACGAAGCACCTGAACTATAGGTGCTGAAACTGGAAGCCGCGTTTGTTCCGCTCAGGCAAATGTTTGTTGACAGAGAGCAGAAATATCAGCACGAGCTTTCAGTATTCTACCTGCTGTTAAGGACCCTCCCCTAGTCCGTACTGCTTGATTTTAATGCGTTTTTGTCCTAATTAGTCGGAATCTCGGCCAACTAATCACCGCCAGTTGGTTTGCGTTGGTCGTGGCCTTTATTCAGCAAGTAGAATGAAAATACTAACGTAAACCAATGTCCTTCCGAGACGCAAAGGTGGCTACGAGAGAATATGTTGTAGGGCTCAAATCATCGAGAACGATGTTTTGAGAGCTGTATGTGGCATGTGTAGCAGGGCTTTTATTGATGCCTTAAGCACGTTCTACTAATTACTTTTCCTCAAAAAAAAAAGCGTATGTTAAATAGAACCTTGTCCCTCAGATGGCCAGTTTTCATCAGTCATCAGAATCGTATTACGACCACCATGAGAATACTGTTACCTGCTTACTGTTACCTGGATAAACTCTCGCTTGCCGTTTCTCGTCAGGCACAAAATTAGGTTAGGTTCACATAGAACATTCGTTTACTGACAATTAATACCACGCAAATAATCCGAGTATCTGTGTATGTAAAATATAGAAAAAATGCTCATCATTGGACTGTTCTACAATTGAGTACCGTACTAAGGCGCCAATTCTATCGATTCAACTATTATCTTTACGAGTATCTGAACGTTGTCAAAAATATAGCCTGACCAATGTTAAACCACTTCAACCTATCGTATAGTGCCATTTATTTTAGATTTTTGCAGCAAGGGTCTGATTTACAACATTGGGTACAATGACTAGGCCTTGAACACAGAGTCGCTGGCAGAGACTGTACACTGAGATGAATTGACCTAATCGGTAGTACTCGCATTTGAAGGACTGTTCTATTTAATGTAACGCAATCAAATAAAAAAAAAAAGTAATCGTGAAGAATCATGCGTTCTTTCTTCGTTGTTTTTCGGGTAGAACAAGTGTTGTCAATATTGGAAACATATGTGATAATTGATATTATCTAATTATCGCATTGTGTCATCCTAGAGCAATAAGCAAATTGTAGAGTGTTCTAGAGTAATAGCAAACGCACTACAGTTGCAAGGCTGCGTATAGATTCTCGCCTTGTTTAGCCGGTAGGTGGTTATGTATTGACTGAGTTGAGGCGATGTTGAAGAGCGATAATAATAATAATTTATCTAAAATTACGTTAAGATCTCGTCCACTAATAATATTTGACATGAATGATATACCTCGAAAATGATAGAACTAGAGACCGCCGTTAGCTGACCTCTAGCACTTACGTAATGTAACTTACGAACATGGTAAGTCACGCGACGGTACTTCGGAACGCTTTCCCGTTCTGACCTCCTCTATTCTCACACCACTCGTGTAACCATGTTCGCATCTGACTACTTTCCTTATTCGCAATATGTTTTCCCATGTTAGGTCTTACCATCCGCGACGATTTAACGTGATTTAGGATGGGGCATTTGTTCTAAGCAAACGAATAAGGCCACCCGAAAATGGGTCTAGCGGCTAAAATACTGGTTGAACGTAAATACAATTGGTCTCATACAGGTTCATGTTACAGCGCGGTATTTTCACCGGAGAAATCGTGCTAAAATCTCCCAATGGAAGTTACTCTATACACATTCAAACTTTATATATAATGTATGGCCGTTCATCAGCTACTATTTCATATAATGGATTGGATCTTTTAAGTCTAATTTTTATTTTGGCTAATCATACTGCTTGGTCCGTAAATGTCTAAGGCCTAATCATTGATAATGATCGAAAAAAACTGGTTTGTTGAGGCTCTTCAAGTGTCGCGTGTCTGATCAAGCGGTTATTTCACGTAACGACGTTTTATTAAGCCTTTTCTCTGTCAGCAATCTGATCAGCTAGTTTGTATATAGCTGCCAATGGCTAAGTACGGAAACTGTTTTGACTGGCTACATCTGCCCCTACCACCTTGCTATATATAACCTTATAATTGCGGTAAGCCAAATGACATCTCTGTCTCTTTGAGAGAGATGATAAGCCGCCGCCGCCTATCTCACAATACGTAGAGGCGGCGGTGGTCTATCATCGTCAACATGTTAACATTTCTATTCCATCCGGTCATAACTAAAGTTATGGAAACGAAGACGCAGTTTAATAAGATTTTGATCTTCTTTCTGCTTTATTCTTATTATTAGCTGATGAAAGTTGTGCTATTAATGTCTTTTCTTTGTTCTCGTGATTGTTCGAATACCTATTCTCAATATGGCACGTGACAGCCGCGGCATCATCCCAGGTGATATCCTGCTTGATTATTTGGTTGATACAGGCAATTCAAGTGGATGTAACTTGCGTCAAGTTCCCGTCTTAGCTTCTACTGCGGCCTAAAATCCACACGCCGGCATCTTCCCTTAAAATGTAATCACGTGCATATACTGAAGCCATATAGGGCACCCATCACATGTCGTTTATCCACACGCGAGCTGAGAACTAGCTTCTGTGGTAATTTATGGGATGAATGATTAAACATAACTTGCGCATGAACTTTAATTTTTCACATAAATCCTCGCATAGCAGCCTCGATACCATAGCCATAGCCATACCCTTTAAATGTTTTGTTACAGCTTAGCAATAGTGAGTCCTCCAATGGTGTACCCATTAAATTCTTACCTAAAACACATGTGTATCCTTGCTACTTCTTAGAGAAAAATGGTGCACGTTATCTGTGCCAGATAGAAGCCTCTCGGTAGACCGATCTATGTAACGCCTCTCCGGCTTTCGATGAAGAGCCATTTGTGCAACGGGTACAGTTCTTCCTCGGATTTATATCGAGTACCATTCAGAGCGTGATTGTTCGCGTTATTGTCACAATGGACATAATTTAGCAAAGAACTTAAAAGGAAACGCCTAATAGATAAAAACTTGATAAGCAAGTGGCTGTTGGCGTATTAGCCATGATATTTTGCGAGTAAAAAACTATTCGTCAAGAAAACGTTTTTCGGTCGTATCTCGCAGAAGCTGCGCATTAATTCCGGGCACAGCCGACGAATCAGCGCTGTCCATGTAAATTATTTTGATTGAATCCTTCGGATCAGAGAACTGTTCAACATGTTTCAGTCCTGCATGTAGCATTTACTTGATAAATACGTAGGTGGAACTACAAAAGAGATTTCGCCTGCCCTAGGTTATCGAATAGAGCTTCTGGCACGACGAGCGTCGCACTGCTATAGATGATAGTCGATCATCGTCGTTCTGTTATCACTGATCTTAAACTCTTTCAGCCTTTCAACTTGAATGGTTGTTAAAAACAACTGCATTAATAATTATGTAGTTGTTATTACTACTAGTATTTTTATACTAATTTTTTTTATTGTTAATTTCATATTACTACTAACATTTTTATGATAAGAGTTAGTAATCCTCATCATCATAATCTTCTTCGTCGTCGTCGTCGTCGTCGTCTTCCCCTTCGCAGTAGCAGCGTTACCCTAGTCGGGTATGTAAACATGTTATCAAGTAATAACCGTTTTTCATTTTATTTATGTCGCTTGTATCATGCTACATCATTATTCCAATATGGCCGACAATAGTTCAAAACTGAGAACGAATTTTGCAGTAAGTGTAGTTTGATTTGGCTATAGTCATATCTATAGTACACTTGCTTAGTAACAACGTCGCCTGTATATATAGCAAGATACCCGTCGTATATAGCTAGCAATTTGTGTTCAAATATAAAGTAGATCCTGCTGCATGCATTTACCTTATAGGTGTCTAAAAATATAATTGCCTTATATATTTTCGCTGGGGGTTTATATAGGATCATATGTTCATATAGCTAGATATGCTGCAGCTCGACGCTATACTTCTTACCATAATGATACTATTACTGATGCACACTTGACCGTAGCAAAGTGTTGTTTCCTGATTTAGCTAAAATAGGAAAACTTGCGATCCGTCGGAGCTAGTTAATCGTCTTGCTCCTTCTATTAGTTTAGGCACAAAAGAAGAGAATTTAAGCAAACATTGCGTGATTAACGTGGCAGAAAATGGATTTTATCATATGTTCTACTTCTGCTACTACAGCATATATAGGAAATTTCTCAATTTTTGCATATACCGTGCCTTGTTGGACACTGATTAATTTTGCGCCCATGATTATGGAAGCGCCCATGATTGTGGAAGCGCCCCCTATCATTTAATAGTGATATTGCATACACACACATGCTGGCAGAGGGGTCGATGTTCGCTTTTGTTTGCCGGTGTTATCTTGTTTGTGGGAAATTGTTGCCGATACTGCAAGGAATCGTAAATTACGTATAGAAATAAATAGCATCTATGTAGTAAGCACTCACAATGTGTTGTTATTTCGTTCATTGATTTGTGTATTTCACACATCATGAAATGCACACTAATCGACACGTCACCATTGGCTTAGGTCTTCATCTTGGTTCTGCAGCGCTGTGGGCCTCAAGACAGGACGCAACAATTAGCAACTAATTATATGCGACGCACCGATAATGCAACGCTGCATTTGCTTGTGTTTATATTTTCGATGTATGTCACCAGCAAGTAACTATGGCGGGTACGCCAAGCGTGAATTGTGACAGTGAGCGGTTGTAGATTGTCTAGGGCGTGGCGTAGACTGTCGATTTAGACCTTCGTCTGAGATCGAGGTTAGTCGAACTAGAGCTCTTCGACTCTGTCTTTGACCTTGTTGGCGATTTCTTGTTTCTCCATTAACAGCAAGAGGTGCTCAGGTGACTTGCATGGTGAACAGATCTGATACGAGCAATTCCAGAGCGATTGACGGATCCGATTTTCATGCGCTTTCCGAGGCCTGTTGCGCTGAGGACATCTGTTCTTGTCATAGCTTCACAGTCAGCATTGCCTTCTACTCGAGTTCGGTTATTTTTGCTCTGAAAGTGTTACCTTTACCCTCGCCCTCCTTGCTTTTCTCGCATCTCGGAAGCCCGAAATTGAGCTACGAGTAGCATTTTTTCAGGTTACTTGATGGTTCGATTATTATTTATACATGCCTTTAAAACTGATCTATATCGCTGTGATGTCCATAGCGGTTAGTCATATCTTTTTGACGAGTTTGTATCACATTGCCGAATGTTGCATTGTTGAACAAATAGACGGCCGTCTTTTTGGAACAGGCAAAACAAAAGAGAAGTTAGGATGTCAACGATTCTGGGTAACCCTGCTTTATTGACTGGGGCTGCTGGGGTTGGAGGTGCTGTGTGAGCGGTTGGAAGAAATGGTGTCCATTTTGAAGGCCAATTCCCGGGATGAACTGATACTACTGCATCGACCACATCGTCTGGAAGGACGAAACGGTAAAAAATAGCTTTTGAGACACAAGTATTGTTTATCGAGCGAATTTTATCTAAGTAGTCAAGTAGCAGTTGTCCTAAAACTTAAGCATTGAGTGTCGCTCAGAATGCCGTTTATGCACTGCACGAATTCTGAGTGACGCTCAATGTTTATGAACCTATTTACAAAGTCATCTTAAAGGTTCGGCTATACTGAGTTTCTACATTGTCGTCTTCAAATATTTTTTTCCAGTGTTTCACATTTGCTAAGAATATCTCCTTTTTGAAACACGTGCATTTCTCGCGAATTTCCCAATCAAATTTCAACCATAGATGATTTTTTTTTTAGATTTTATTTAGTTAGCAATGCATCCTCTCTTTTCCCTGCGGAATGAGTGTTTTCTACGGATGCCCAAACGTAGTAGACAACAGTGATTTTATTTCTATTTAATCACTACAACGAGCGATACGGCTTTGACGGACTGCTGTATTTTATGCAATAATAAACGTCAGACAACAGATTGGTGCTGGATATCGTGCACTTTACGCACTACCCACAATGTTTAGCTATCCGCTTAAATTGTGCCTTCTAAACTTCTGCCTTTAATTATCTATTAGAAAAGGATAAAAAATATGTATGTTTTGACCAGTGAAGTATCCTCTACAGAACTATTTCTCGGCCTATTGGCTAGGCCTATCGCTTGGACTAGCCACGGAAATCGACAAAACAAAACACTCGTGTTCCAGTCAGCGCAGTGAATATGCTAGACGTTCAAGTTCTTCTTTAAAACTTGTCACTAATACAATAAAATATACTATAGTACTTAATTCTACGTATAAAAAATTCCAAGATTACAGACAGGTCCTCCACTAATACGATTATGCCTAATCATTCTACCCTCATTTTTACCACCACCCTTATTATTGTGCTCACCTCGGAGACGAACTAGAATGAATGGAGTGCGTGCTCCGAGAAGAGCCGCCAGCCTCGTAAGCCAATTGACCGCTGCCTTTCTGAAGGCCAAAGGACCCCTGCTGTTGTTGTTGCAGGTGACGCGAGAGGCAAATCCGGTCGATATCCGGATGTTGTTGCTGTTGCTGTCCCTGGTGAGTGTCGTTGCTGTTGCTGCTGCCTGACGGTGTTGTCTGTATTTGCCCCTGCCCCTGGACTGGGGAGTGCTGCTGAACAACTGCGTTGGCCAGATGGATATGCGGGAGTCCTTCTGGCACCGAGCTGGGCGGCATCGTATTCTGGGTCTGTGTGTGAAACTGATCGGGCAAGTGGTGGATGGGGAGTTCCCCGGGCCCACGATGGTGTACATGGTGGTGATGGAGTCTCTGCAGGCCCTGCAAGCTCATCGGGGTCTGGTGACCGGGCGGAACAAACACGGTTGCCTCCTTCGCTAAATGCCAGGGCAGTCGTGGCGAAAGAGGGGGAGCGCCGCCTACCTCCGATGAGTAACTCGCGCCTGATAAATTGACCAGGACATAAGGGAAAGAGATGCCAAGAAACGCAAAAGAAAATGAGAGAAACTTCCTGTAACAATGATGTTACACGGTAAGGTTCTAACTAACTTGTTTAAAGCACATTGTAAGAAACAGAATGTTGACCAGCGGTGGCCGGATGCTTAGTGTCAAGTCGTTGTGATTTAAACAAATAATGTATTTTTAGGGAAAACAATAACCGAGTTCTCGCAAATCACGTTATCCCACTAAAAATTAAACAAAATCTGAAGTTTTGGAAGTAACTTTCAGCTCATCTTATTTTACTACTTTGCTATGTAAATACGTGCCCAACGTAATAGTGACTTTCATTTGCAAATATAAATAAAAGACGAGGTAATTTTTATTTCCAGACGATGTTTGAAACCCGACCAGTCGATTTTACCGACATGGCCTGATTCGCTCCGAAAGGTTTCCTAACGTTCCCAACGGACTATAATAAATGCACTCTACACAATAGCCCAGTATAATTATATAAGGCTCTCCTGGCACTTGCATGCGGTGTTCACTATGCATGGATATATAGCTCTTGGCCTATTTCTATGCCATTTTGTACAGATAAATGTGTTGATCAAATGCTGCCTGCTTTATGAAAAATACAATGTGTTTTTTGTATTACAGCTCCATTTGTATAATATCGTTGTTATTCTTTAGGATCGTTCTATGTTTTTCCCGGATAAGCGAGTTTTTGAGGTGTAACAAATTAGCTGTCTTTATTTACATGAATTTGCACGTCGCTGACGGCAATATATGATACGGAAGTTTGAAAAACTGGCTCAACCCTTACTTGAGGATACAATTTAGTTACTTAGTGCCTCATAGGCTGCCAAACAAGTGCCCCTGTATGCGTAATACCTATCGTATCAGGCACAGTGTGGCTAACAATGAATACCCGACTCCTTCCTTAACAAAAGCTGTATACAGAACTAGCCAGACTTACGCAATATGTACTCGTGCGAACCGAAAACTAGGAAATCGAAAGAAGTTGTGACCAGTTAGATCCTCCAGTTAGATAGTGTTACATAAAATGATCCATTTCCCATTCGCCAATCGGTGGCCATATTGAGCAGAGGTAATCGTATTATAGCATCGTTAGCCATAATGTACTTGCAATACTAACTGTCTCAAAACTAGACGCTACGTTCATTGTGGTTATGTTCACTTTTATATAAAAACACATAATACAATATTTAGAAACATCGCACGCGTAGACGCGTTCCAGTCACCTTCTTGGAAGGACCATTTTGTCGGATAAGTGTATATAATGCAAGCATACAAGGACAACGCCAGTATCTGGAGTGAATGATCTGGCTACTTCCTTATTTAGAGCCATCGCCATAGTTATGTTATTAGGTATGAAAATGTTATTTTATAAACAATCGGTTTCTGCTACTAGAATTAGATCATTCGTTCTTTAGGGGATCTAAAACTTCGAATAAAAACACAAATAATACGTTGCGGACGTGTCTAAAAAGTTAGCAAGTCCACTCAATATTTGAATGTATTTTAACGTAATAAAAACGCTACAATTTATGAACATGTTTATTATTTAATCGCTATCCAGCTCCTCTGATGACCAAGTGTGGGCTTCTCTGGGTGAGCAGCATAGGTCTACTGTGCGATCAATATACATGTATCTATTGGATGACCTTTTTATTGGCTGGTGCCGACGTATGATCGTATAGAAATCATTGAATTAATACAGCCTAATTAATTAAGAATACTTTTCAACACGTCTAGTAGTTTTCGTATTAATTACGGGCACAACGACTACCCGCCTCTTTATATGGCCCATGCATGAAAATGATCAGCTTTAACCCGGCAATTTCAAAAACAATATAGACCGTCATTTAGAGAGATGAGTAGCAGCATTTGATTCCGCTTGTTTGTATTCAGTGCAAGAGTTTGTGCCCAAATGTATTACATTAGGCGAGAAGGAAATACCTGGTTCCGAAATTTTCCCGTATTGCCCTCACTTTGCCTCGACCCATTTCTAATGCCAATGGTCGATGCCACTTTTCTCCTCGACTTTGCGGTCAAAACACGTCGTCGACAGTGACAACGTTACCGGATTATCCCCTTTCTTGTTGAGTTTTTCTACTCGAGCTCGGATTTTGCAGCATTGAAAACTTTGCCATTGAATATATATAATAGAGATCAATCCTCATGCTTCACAAGTGCTTTTTTTTTTATTTCTACGCCCATATTGAATTGCTAGATTGCTCAAGTTACGAATTTTAAGTAGTGGAAAATTATTTCTTCATGAATCCATTGGGTGGTGTATGTTCTTAAAGGCCTTGGTCACAAACGCGGCACAGCGCACCGACACAACCATAAGAAGCGGTCAAGATTTAGGAATAGCAGAGCTATTCGAATATTCCATTATATGGAGTCGTATATTAGAACTAAATATCTATATATCTGACATTGTTCATATAAGAGGAATCCATGGCGTTATCAAAAAGCAAGCACGGTCAGTAACTATTTCGTTCTTCGCCAGTCCTGAGAAGATCGCATTTTTTCTTCAAGTTGCTCTATAAACTTCACGTTCAAAATACCTATCAGCTCAGGAGCTTGCAGATATTCGCTGCTCCTCGCCGATCGTAAAAATATAATAAATTCAAAGGTCGGTCTACTGAATTATATTGTAAGCAATCATACGTTTAACCTTCTAATACAAACAACTCGTACGTTGGTTATGCTTCGACGGAAATTTAGTATAAAGCGTGGACTGTGCCAATGGGTTAAGCACTAAATTCATTACGGAAGCATAGAATATGATCAGGCTATTGTTTCCGTTAGCCAACAAAGGCCATTTATCTGCTGTAGCCGTGTCCTGCGAATCGGTATTTCAAATTTGGTGCTTAGTAAAATTAATAATATTATTGCAAAATGAACTATATTTATAACACCGATTTTGTTTGCAAATTCCAAGTTAAAACAGCATGTTTCACAACGTAGTTTTCTTCTATATACGTAATCATTACATAATATTTACTATTCGCTCTTCAACATGTCTTCTATGTCAAACAAAGCCCAGAGCTTTATTTGAAAGTAAATTGAAGCCACTATAACGACTCAAGCTCTCTACTGCTTATCTCGACTGCTTAACAATCACACTAGACAACTACTTAAACCTGATGGCACGTCTAGACAATTCACTGGGTTGCTATCAGCAATTTTCACCAAAACGGCGGTGGTCCAGCTTAAAAAAGGTAGCCTTGGTCCCTACTGCCAAACTAAATGGGACGTAAATGCTGTAAAATACAGACAACTTACTATCTGATTTTACCTGAATTTGATCAGCTTTTATGGCAAAAGGGCGAAATGTCCATATTGTGCGTTTAACCAGGCTGATGGACTTTTCGTAAAACCCCCCAACTTACGAGTTACCACCGGTGGGGCATGCTCGCTAGCTGGGACGACTTCTTCACTCACTGTTTCACTGTGGCTACGTATGTCTGGCGTGTAGCATACCATCGGCCAAGAATTCAAACACGCGTCATCTCTGTTGCCAGCGCAGGCATTTGTTGCCCCGATTTAATTCTGCCCGATGTCCTGGCCCTCGATGACCACTTACATTCATTGGGGAACGAACAGCTATTTCGAATAGTTCGCTAGCGGTTGCCCTTGCTCACTCATTTGCAATAGGTCTATAATCGCTGTAAAAGTAATGCCTTCTATTATTTCTTCTTATAGAAGATTTACCCGAGAACATAACGCCTATCTTATGTGAGCCGAGTGTGAGGCTCAACCTTCCCCGTTGGGCTCGTTCCTGTCGAAATCACCATTCACTAGCTCTTAATTAACCTCTCAAGATTCACTCCAAATCAGCCCAGATCAGCCCATTTGACAGTACTACAGGCTAATAGGAGGGAGTGACTAGTGCCAGCGGATTACCTTAACCAGGTTCCCACCTCTACAGATAAGCTAGCTCCCTGAATGAAAGTTTGACCACCCGATGTGTCCTCCAAATTTGATGAAGCATCGTACGCCATGTTGCTCTAATTAAGTCGTAATTTTACAGGCATAAAACCCCTCATGCCGTTTCTTAGGTACAATCTTATCTCCCCCGCGATGTGTCCTTCTTTAATGCGGGTAAGTGCCATACAAGTCGGCAGACTGTAGTGTGGTGTATCTTCTGGGCCCGTAGTGCAGAGTGCATAGATGCCCACTGGGGCTTTACCAGTTTTGTGAAGGTAGCCTTGAAAAGCTTCGTGATCCCAGAGGATCTGCATGAGATAGTAAGCTAGCTTTCACCTGATCGTGCATCCAGACTTTATCTTAGGGATGGTGCCCCCTACTGCCACTCCCGTCATAAAACTAAGTATCAGCTCCCATTCTTCTTGCCATATTCTCGAGACTTTCCCTTCCGCGTCATTAGTCAGATCTCACCCGGGAGCACGCCCCTCTTTAACTCTTAGATCTTAGGAAGCGGCACCTGCCACGGTGAAAGCCGCGTTTGTACTAATTGTGTGGTAGTCTTGGGTAACCCTAACAGCAAGGATTTGCTAGGCACTTTTAAGTGGCTACATAACCGTAACCCCATAAGTTCAGGTAAAGATAGGTGCTCTAAAAAGCGTAATCAACTCGTTACTGTGGTTTACGGCTGTTTAGCAGCATTCTGGCAAGGCAATTTCCATGACGGCTCTGGTCGTCATTGCGACAATTTTACTGATGTAATACATTTCACTTATTGCATGCTTTAAATGGATCCCAAAGTGTCTTGTCGTTTTGACCAGGTGTATTATTTTCCTGCCCGAAGTGAGTCTAAAAAGCCAATATTTTTTCCTGTTCATGATTAATATAACCTCTGACTTCGCAGGAGCCAAATATAGCCCATACAATGTATAGCCCATATATAGTACAGAGGTCACCTGTATAGACAATGGTTTCTACCTCCACAAAAGAAATCATCTAATCCTAGCGTTCCGTCTTATGCCATGAGGATGTCTAGGACAGACCA